CTTGGTAAAGTACCTCTGATATGTTCGAAGTACGGCGGAGTCTACGGCATAGGATATCCTGAAAAGATTCTAGCGCTCGTACATATTTTACATAGAACACCGCCGCATCCCAAGGATTCAAGCAGAGCAATCTGTTGAACAAACCGTTAAAATTCCTTCCACCTATTTGTACGCTTTTAGTTAACGTTGCAGTGCAATGCGTTGAACACGTTGTATCCATATTTATAAATATTCCGCTCACAATTTACATAATTCTATTCAGAAGATCAAAATATGCAGATATATTTTAGTAGCATAGATATTTTTTATTCCTCCAACATAATTCGATAGCTGTTTTCCTTTTACGAAATATTTTACAGTGAAATGTGAAATGTCACTTCCGAATCTCAATATCGAGGGCAAATTAATGCGAGTGTGAAAATTCGACAAAGTCGTTAATGCGTTAAGTCGTAGTTAAACGCGAATTGCATGATATCCTCGCGCAATTTTCAATTCTCGTTCGAGCGAATCGTCATTATTACGCTATGAATTCTGCTGCACGGATATCATAAATAACCTCGACGTAAACTATCGCGCAAAACGAATACAATAACTCATTATGTAAATACATATTCATTAATTCAAACGCGTATCCAATAACTCGTTATCGCATGCATTATACATCTGTAACATTTTCGCGACTTCCGATTTACCTTACGAATTCATTCAAAACTCTCACTTTGCGAACGGTTTATATTTTTCATCACGGATATGTAAGTACGACGAACAAAGCATGTCCTGCCTCAAACCGGTTACACCAGTTGTCCGTTAATTCGCATCGTTACGTTGCTGCCGTTGCCGTCATCGTGTCTGACGAAAATTTTGCCCGGTACGACCCGGCAGGTACATTTTGCATGCACTCCGCATGGCAATTATATGACGTGGATGCACCGCGACGCTTTAGTATCCCCAGGCAGCGTCCAGCGGAAAAGGATCGTTCAATTTAGCCCCGGACCTTCATTCCCGCGAATGGACGAGATCCAGAGAGCGCATATTCCCGCCGGCTAGAAGAGGGTGAAAGGACCTTTCTATCTCGACCATCTCCAGTTCGAGAGTTTAACGTCCGCCCGTAAACTGGACGACGTGTCTAATTACCCGACGCAAAAGCCACCCTTTCCAGAGGAATACGACATACGCCGTTCTGATACCTAAAAACGCTCACAAGAGCTTTTTGAATGCGCACCTGCGAATAGAAAATTTTATACCGTACGTATATCCTGACGTAATCGTGCCCAAGGGATAAAATTCTTTCCCGTTGTGACCAAATCAAGCCAAGTCGAAAAATTAAAGCGCAAAAATTATTCTAAAATTATTCTTTCGAACTGCATAAAGTCTACAAAATTAAATACATTACTGTTGCTACCTCGGGATATTATAAATTAGAATTTCGACGCAACATGTTATCGTTCAATGTCAAATAATCGAACAATAGTATCGATATCAGTAAACTATAATTACATAAAAATAAGATACAATATCTGGTATGGGAGAGCTATTGTATCTATTGTGCAATTTGAGATCGATGTTTTTCGCATAATCAAGCAAGGTACGAGATGAAGAGAGACGTTTCAATACAATTTAAATTGTAAGCGGTTATTATGAGAATGCTTTTAGAAAATAACAAATACTAATGGAGGGATTGTTTGTTTCGTCAGCCAATACGTGGATAGGCGGTACAAGCCACGGGGGAACAACAACAACAACAACAACAACAACAACGCGAGTAACAGCACTATGAACGAATGAGCGTGGGCTTGATTGGTGTTCGGTACAGGTTGGCAAGGAATACTGGCAGGAACCGGAATGGCAACTTGCTAATGAGGGATATGTATCACTTTTCCGATAGGCGGGGTGGACACAGATCGTCGCTACTGAATGGTTCGAACTGCAATCTGGAAATGCTGAATCGCCCCCCGCGATCCAATGTACCGTGAATCGGAGGGGCGGTAAATCACAATACAGCCATGACACAGAGGAGACACTTGTCAGGGCGACCGATCCGCAACGAAGATGGATCTCTAATCGAGAGCGCGGCTCCGAACGTATTGCCGTTTCTTTTTTTTTTAAGCGTGTATTTTTAAACTCGTGAATCATGTCGTTAGAGGAAACATGTGTATCGGTAAACGATAAACAATAGTAATGAGAAAGTTATGAAAGAAGATTGACAACTTGGATCGGATGTATTATCAAAGAATGATGGCACTGTTTGCCTTAAATGTCATTGTCCATCGTGTTGCACACATCTTCGTATGTTAACGCAGTAATGGATGTGTCTTCGCTAATTGTATGATCGACTTTGTAATTACCATAACAATTATCATAATTAGCGAAGCGGACGGACAGAGCACGGTTATCTAGGGCTCTCGCGATTATCCCGCTGGAATTCGGGCTTAGACTCGGCGCTTAAGCTTCCGCCATTAGTTTAATGGCCATTTAAATACCGGGCTTTAAATAATAGCACCTAGTAAGCGCAATAGGAGAAATGTAAACAATGGTTTGGTACGCTTTTGCAAAGTAACTGTAAATGCACTACGCTTCCACAAGATTAAGTACAATAAATTCTGCCATAAAAGACAAGGCTGCGTTGTTCGTCTCATGATAATTCATGAATAATAATTCTTGATGGTTATATAGAAATATATCTGTATTTCTCGCCACGTTGGTTTTCGCAGATATAGTAGAGTGAAAATATTATACGTAATGTAAAACTGCATGTGATGTAATAATAACAATTAAAGATACCAGTAATTAATACGACGATAATACAAATTTTATCATAGTTTCATTCTTTTCATTTATTACAATTTTGTAATCATTACGAAGCGCGCTCATGGATACACGTTTTTCATTATCATCATTTCTAATCTAATAGATTCTTTGTCCTGTTTCATATATAGTCTATTTTTAGCGCAACTATCTAGTGTCAACCTTTTTCCTCGGTCGATGGAAACATTCATCTATTTCGACTTTCGATCGCACGAACGAGATACACATCACGAGAAGTGTTGACCAGTGCCACCCTTTTCTCGCTCGCGCGCGAGAACGCTTCCACCCTGAAATTATCCGCACACAAAACCGCGCACACGCGCTTCTCCATCGCGTAATAGAATTTACGATGCCGGCACGTATACGTCGCATCCTACACTCGCGATGCATCAAAAACACCGACGAAGATGTAGTACGCGATAACACGAAGCGGCAATTACTCTTCACTTTCCGCGCGGCTTTCCCCCGCGCGCTTGACGCGCGTCGCCAACCCCCTTTCCTTCATCGCGCCCTCTCTTTCTATACATTGTGTGTGTATATATATATATATATATATAGGTGCGTACGTATGCGTACGTGGCTGCGTGCGTGCTCGACAGTCGATCGATCTAAACGGGCCGGGCGTAACAGACGGAAAATCCGGTGAAAAGCGCGCGGGCTTTCACAATAAGCGGCACACGCAAACGCGCGCACACGGACGCGGTGCAGACGTCATTGTTCCAACAGAGCCTTTTGTCAGTGAACGAATTACTGTTGCTGTTTAGACCCCTTTCTCATTTGTCCCGTTTTCACCCCCGGGCCAGCCAGTCATCTCCGACGTGCTTTCTCCCTCACTGTGCATCACCCGCGACTCTTGATTCTCTCCCTTTCGATCCTGAGCTGTGTGCCTCGTTGACACTTTGCTATTTTCATGTCTTTCTAGGATCTATTTCGACGTTAATAATAATATGAATTTGTAGGCCTAATTAATGATTCCGCATACTCGATTATTTCCGAAGATCTTAAACTGACTATGTCTTCGCCAAAATGATTCGCCAAATTGCGTTCTTAGACTGATACATATGTTGAGATTGCTGTTTTATTGATTTTTTTTCTTCCTCAGGAAGATATCTTTATCTATTCACTTAATTCTCAAAACTACTTGACATAAAACTTGTAACGGTTACTGACATTGTGTCTGTGAGACTCATTATATTGATATAATATGATTGATTAAAAGATATTAATTAATTTCAAGAAATTTAAATGACGTAATTCTTATAAAGAAAAATAAAATTGAAGTAAACTTAATATTTTATTTTAATAAGAGTAATTCAAATTTGCTGATGTAAAATATATAATTAAATAGATCGAATATAAACTAGACTCATACTGCAAATCCAAGTGTAAAAAGTGATTTCAATATATATATATATGTATGTGTTATTCAGTTTTCCGTGTAAAAATGACCATACGTTTAAATGTGTAAATCCATATTTGCAGTACAATGTGCTATATTTACATGGAAAACTAATCACACACATATATTGAAGTCACTTTTTACACACTTGGATTTGGAGTGCAATGTCAGCTTCGAAAGGTTAAATGTCGATAAACTGGCGTGTTTGCAACGCGTGCGTATGAATGAGTGCAATCCGTCTTATCGGGTTACGAGATTCTCGAGATATTTTCACAGAGCAGGGAAATTCGGTGGCCGCTCTTCGTACGCGCGTAGAATCGTAAATTCGCATAATAACGACGGGCTTGTTCGACGCGAGAACACTATTATAAGGGAGTATAATTCCGCGCGCATCTATATGGTGACGGTGACAGAGACGTGTCTCTCCCACGCCCTTTATTAGAAGTCCTACACGCGCGAGCTTTTATACGTCCCAAAATCCTTCCGTCCCCGTATCGTGTGTTTTTCGTGGCGGTTATGTCACGGCGATAATTTCCGCAGGCGGAGATAAGTTTTACGCTTCACACTTCCGTGCTCGCAAACGTGACGGTACGTCCCTTTTAGTTGCACTTTTTTATACTCTCTGCATTTTAAATACGTATTAACGATGTAGAGAGAAAGTGGAAAGAACGTAATCATAGAAATTCGCCACTTTCTCGATTTTTTTTCTCTCACTTTTTCTTTCTTATATTCATTTATAACTTTATTATAATCCAATGAATTCAATTCAATTTTTTTTCGATCTTATTTGAAATTATAATTATTCTCTAAGAGAACCAACACTCGAAATATCTTGCAGTGAAATCTTATTAAATATTTCACTTTCTTTCAAGGGTGGTTGTATTTTTCACTCTCTTGGAGCGAGATTTCACTGCAAGAAATTCAGAGTGAACACTTTTAGGGGAGGAATCTCGGACAATAGCTCGTTTTCTAACAAATGTTGGACAACATTTAAAGATTAACATTCTGCTACACAGATCGTAACCTCGTGTACACGCTCTCGCGAGAGATGGAAGCCGAAAGGGCGGGAAGATAATTTGGCGTAGGTAGGTAACACATAACTCTGGCTGGTATCTACCTGTCAGATAAGGCACGCCTCGTCGTATTCGGGTCGACGGTGGACGCAGAATTCGCTCGGTTCGTGGAGATGGGATTCTGTATCTGCCCCTTTATCGTCGTCTTCGTTTCTGTGTCCTCGTTTCTCTTCTCTGTCTGCTCTGTTGCCTGTCTCAGCTCACTCTCGCAACCCCTACACGCTCATCGATATGCGGCTGTTCATGTCGCTGGCATACAAAACGACCCCTACGTTATAAAATCGTACGTATACGCGTCGAATCGGCGCGCGTTAGACATGATTAATTCGCGCACGGAATTAACTCTTGTCGATAAGCATCGGAATTGAGCCCGGACTCGTGATTGTCTGCCCGTTATGAAAAAATCGACGTCACAAGCGTTTTCTTTTTGTCGGAAATGGCATTTTCCTCCATCTTCCCAATATGACGTTGTGTGCGTGCGACACAAGTTTCGTGCGTGTATCAGGGAAAGGCCGCTGCTGCCACCGTTCTTTTTACCATCCCCGATATACCACGTAATATTTTACAAACGTCGTTGAACGCACATGCGACCGGTTCGCGTCCGAGCGCAGATCATAAAAATCGCAGATTGCGTCTGCATCGTTGTCTTTTTTTTTATCTCTGTAGTCTGTGTGTTATTCCTTCCATTCTTCGCTCCAATTGCTCGTGCGGAGAAAATTCTACGCGTGTAAATTTCTTGGAGAGACTCGAGGGGGACGTTGGGACGCGCTTTTTTTTTTATTCCGCAATAAATTTTATTCCAGGCGCAAACGTCACGCGATATCGAGGTTTCTGCAAATATTATCGCGCGCGCTCGTTGTAAGCGAGGAAATATTGATTGCAACGTGATGTGGACGTGAGTAAGCGAAAGGGTTGATTTCCGGTGAAAAATTACCGGCCTCATATGACTACCGCCGCGTATTTCTCGCGTTGTAAAAAGCAGAGCAGAGCGGAAATATACGCGCGAAAATGTTACACGGTAAAATCGTTGTTGTCGGAGGTATAATATATATTCCATGCATTCGCGTTGTTCATAATAACCGTATGCGCACCATCTATGTCCTATATCGATATCGGAATTGATTACTGACTGATAAATATGCAGAGCGTCGTTTCTTGGATTAATGTAATCTTCGTATGTACGAACGAAAAAGTATTAAATCCTCATTCGATATTGTCAAACGCGAGATTTCGCGAAGTGGAAAACAATATTATGCGTTTGTTCGACGATTATAGTACGGCATCATAACGTACAGCGGTGTTGCGATCCGCTTCGCTTAATAAGAATTGCATCGCGAATTTCACACGGGACATTATCAAAATAATGGTAATTTATAATGGGATTTTGAAACCTCGTTCATAAGTATTACTGCAAAATAATTAAATTACAATTAGCGCGTTCATTTGACGACGAATATAATGGTTTTCATGTGGGCAGCGAGAGAGAGAGAGAGAGAGAGAGAGAGAGAGAGAGGCCCCCCTTTAATTCCTCTCCCCCTCTTTCGCGTCTGTCATTTTCTCCATATTAGCTATCGGTGTTATCAACGCGTCGAGCGAGCCACGTGCAAAATTGCATTCGCGTGCCTAATCGAGGAATAACTAGACATAATTAATTTCAGCTCGTGGAGTTAATTCTTTTTGATTTTTATATGACATGAAACAGTTAAAAATATACTGCACGTGTCACCAAAAGTAGCCATTAAATTGTTGTAATAGGCTATAATTTAAAATGTTTCATCGCTTTTAACCTACAATTTTGATATTATCTTTTTTTAGTATGATATTGTTGCAATATATTTTTCCACTAATTTCAAATACATTCTATAAAAAGATATCGGTATATTTTATTAGTAATAAAAAGTAATATTACAAAGCGATTTTTTATCGATTTTTTATCGATTTTTTATCGATACAATAATATGATATTAATTTATTAATCGTACGTTTCTCTCTCTGGGCGTTATTTAAATCTATAGTTTTCTCTGATAAGCGTTACAGTATTGTTCAAATCATCAGTCTTCCCGAACAATTCGTAATGAAAATCAGAGTAATAATACTGCTTTTGATTTTTTCCATGCCCTACACGGAATATTCCATTTATTTATAAAGACAAAACAAGCCGTGCTGTTTTGTTCGATGATACCGTGGATTACCTGAAGGGAAAATCGATAGAGATAATTCGGTGAGTACTGCTGCGAGTACTGATGATGTTGGCTTTGGTATTGATGGTGATGCCCATAGTACGGTTGTTGCTGCTGTTGGTATGGATGTTGCTGGTGTTGCTGTTGCTGCTGCTGCTGTGGGTGTTGATGATGATCATGATGATGTTGATGATGATGATGATGGTACCAGCCATTATTGTATCCATCCATGTCATGTACCGGAGTCACGCTTTACCGGTTCGAATGCGTCCGCGATTCGACGCAGAAAAAGAAACGGCACATACACAGACGGCAAACATATCAATCATCTATTGGTAGGGCGCGACCGTTCGTGCCTGGGGAGCGTTATCGGACGGCATCCGCGGCATTTCTGCGTGGAATCCGCGGGATCTTTCGGTATTATAGCAATAAAGCACGCGAGTGACTCTAATGGCGACCGGGTGGGCGTAGATTCGCGAAATAGATCGGATCTTTCGATTGTTGGACGTTGTTCCGGAAAATATTAGGTGTCATTAATCATCCCGGTGTCTTAGACAGCGAATCGAGACGGTCAATTCGTTCGAACTTTAACGGAAGTGAAATCTCATTAACGATTATCGAATCTTGAAACTTTACTTCGATTAGCGGCGCGTACAAAATTAAGATCCCGGAAGATCGGGATCGCAGAATCAAATGATGATGATACTTTGCACTTCCGGCGCAACTAGATTCGCAATTGCACTCTAGCTGATGACGACAGGCCAACTAACTCGCGATGAGAATTCACGAAATCGCGACGAGCTGCTGGTGGTCTTCCTCCCCACTCCTTCTTCATCTTCAACGTGGCATTTTATTATTCCTTCTTTACGTGCCCTCGTGTCCAGTCCTCCGTTACTTCTCACTCGCGCCGAACCGGTCGGTCCCGCGAGTTTTTGTTCTCGCAGGGGGTCGTTGGGAAAAGCCAGGGCGCATCAGGAAGAAAAGGGGTTACCGACACGCTTTCGACGAGGTCGGGGAATTCCTTTCGCGCCCGAAAACCTGCTGGTACTTCCTTTTCCTGATGTATATATGGCGCGGCTCATCCTCCCCGCTCGCGGAATTATGCATGCCGAATTGAATCCTTGAGGAATGGAAGACGTAGCCTCGGGGATGAATTGGGTTGCCAGTAACTTTTAAATCGCCAGGGCAACGATCAGCCGCAGCTCCCAAGAATTTTATAAGACTATATGAATATATGCGGAAACAGAATCAAGTGTTTCTAAATGAGATTTCGAAGTTACCAAATAACTTTCATAATGTTAATTTTAAAAAGAACAAAACATGTTTATCTAAATATAACTTTGAATAGCTTTAACTTGAAAATACTCTGTTATTGAGAAGAATATATATTAGAAAATCGATCGAGTTTTCTGCGACGTCAGACAAAAATATTTTCAATAGAAATCATGAATAGGACAATTTTCGAAATGTTAAGTTTCTGGAAGATGGAAGTACATCACGCGTAAAAGGAAAAGAACGCAGAATGAGTTCTATAACCAGAACCGGAACACAATGAGAAAGAAAAATCGACATTGTTATTTGTCTTTCTAGACGACATCTACCGAACGTTACGCATGCAACAATGTCTCCTGCTATTGACGTTTTTAGTTTCTTTCCGTCCTACCCTACGTTCTCTCTGGTTCATGTGTAAACAGGTTATTCGAGGATAGTAATCGGGGTCTGATGTCTCATGGGAGTCGCTATTGGAAAGAGTTGAAAGGAGGGTACAGGGGCGTATTCCGGACTAGTAGATCTCTTAGTCAAGCTCAAAGAGATAAATCCAATAACACCTAAAAATATTTGCAATCAAGAAAATAAGCAGACTTACCAAATTCTAAAAAAAAAAGATGCAACGTCAGAAAAAAGTGTAGAAAGAAGTAATCGATCGTTGATTTAGTTATTATTTTCGAAAAGAAAAGTTTAGTACATAATGTTAATATATTAAATATTAATATATTTGAGTGTATAATCAATAATTATTTAAAGCAAAACGAGATACTAGGATATAATATAAAATATATATATATAACATATATATGATTCATGAAGAAATTACGTCAGTAATTTATTCAACAAATAATCCAACATAAGAAACATTAATTGATCGTCGCAAATAGTTGCGAACTTTTTAGATGATGTTACTAATTAGCTAAAAACTGGCTAAAACTTTGAACAGCATTTTGAACCTTGTATTAATTGCCATGCGGTGATCACCATTGGAGATTTACTCGCGAACGAATAGCTCTACCAAAAACATCCTTACGCGTGCATAAAAATATCCATACGCTATGAGCTAATATTGTAAAAAACATCCCCATCGAAAAATATGGTAATCGAACGATATTCAAGAAGCTGACGTCAGCGTTCTCGACCTAGTTTCTTTCGATCGGCTGATTTCCGTGCAGCGAGAAAGACGTGAGAGACGTATCGGGAAAACGCGATTGCAAGTAACAGGGGTAGCAGTTGTATGGGCCTCGCTGCTCAAGGGGATGGAAGCCACGTATGTGCGAGCGCTCAAGATGGAACGAAAAATTCAAAGCTCTCTCGCTAGAGGAAAATCGCGAACGAACGAGGGAATGGCCGAGTGAATGAACGTACGAGCGTCAGACTCGGAGAAATTGAAAATCGTCAAGTATGACACGCTCTCACGCCTCCCCATCGCCGCTTATCCTGAAGAGTATTCGCCGTGGCAAAAAACAGCTAAAATAGATGAAGCGCAATGGAACGAACTGCGCGATTATCATTGCGTGCGCGCGTGTGTTTTATGTGTGAAACTGTCACAATAAAATGCGATCGAAATATATTGCACGAAAAGAACGATTTTGTTAGTATTTAAAAATTTAGATGCAGATCTGAAAATAATTTTTTGTTGGACTGTCAAAATAATTATGTAAGGCGTTCGAACTGGTTGCTAAAATGTCGAAATTATTTGCACACAGCACTATCCATCATGCCTGAGATTCCTTCTTTTCGAGTGTCTGTATATAATGTCACAATAAAGATAACAATAGGCTTAAAATATTATTTAAACTAGTATTTTATATAGATTTATTCACAAAAAGTAACTTTCTTGTTTTCTTCTGGCTGCATAATTAAGTTATATACAAATTGCAACAGTTTAGATTTTTTTATTTTAATAGTCATTCTTAATTGCCTAAAATTTGAGAAAGCAAAAAATATAATCAAAAGATGTAAAAGAGTTAATGGAAGATATAATTATAAGTCAGGGCGACAATACAATTATTCTCAAGTTATATCCTTTAACTTCTACACCCAGAGAAAAGGTTGCTTCGATTTAAAGAAATTTCGGTTCGGATTTAAAAAAATTTCTTTGATTTTAACATTATCTTTTTAAATCGAATAAAATTTATTTTTGATAAAAAAAATTATGTTTAAATCCAAGAAATTTTTTTCTTTAACCGAAATTTCTTTAAATCGACAGCAACCTTTTTTCTAAGTGTACGATTTATTTTCTTTTTTCGAAATATAGATACATTGTAATCGATGGAGAGGCTGTAGTCGTGAATGAAATTGCTGTTATGTCTATTTTTATCTGATGCCATAGGCCAATTAAACGTTCCGCACGCTCGCCGAATAATGTCATTCGTCGTCACGTAAACGGAGAAATGCCCCGGCCACCTGCAATCGTAATTTCTCGGCGCTCTTTGTGCGACGTGACGTCATTAGCCGTCGCGGGTCATTGCGGCCTTTCCTTCTCTTGCCCTCGTTCTCTCGCACACGTTTACTTTTTTTTCCTTATAAACGCCACCATCATTAGGCTGGCGCACAATTTTCCTCACTTTTCCGTCTAGCTAATTAAGGCCGCGTAGACGCCTCCTGTTTGCTGCGGTTTCGATCTCGCGTGGACTTTCACGAACACCACAAGTCAATTTCTCCCCGCTGCCGACTTTTCGCTCAATCGCGGACGCTGAGACGGAAGTTAACGATACGCAAACTATCAGGATAGCTCTCGATCGAGAGACGACTGTTATTGGCAACCTACCAGAAGAAATCGCAAATATCAGATCAAACTGGATATTGACATATCTCATTTGGATCAAAGACAAAATAAAATCTTGTATTAATATCAAGATATGTCGAAACTGCAAATTTATTTTTGATACAATCATTTAATATGAAATCGTCTGCTTTTAAATATACATCTACAAATTTCTAATTCTCTGTACGCTCCATAAATGTACTGAAATTCCATTTTGAGAATATATTAATGTCATTTTGCAGGACATGTTAGAATTTTTTTATATTACAATGAGTACTTATTTCATTTGTTTCATTAAATGTCTTTTTCATCTGCGATTTCACTCTGAATGTCTAACGTTGAGTAATTGTACAATCGTGGCTGCTATTAACGTTTTCAATGCTCGTTGCAGCTGCGATTGACATTAAATCAACGCCTTTCAGAGTGCAAATTCATATCGTTGTTACGACGTCAAACGTTGCGATAGACCGTGCATTTCTCTGTTCTTGCTGGCGGTCTTAATAAAATTTTCATCGCGAATTAACGAGACTTGCCAAGTTCGCGGTCGATAGCAACGTCGAAAAGGGATTTTTTTTTAAAAAGGGTGAATAATTGTATTTAACGTGTAACGAGGGCAACATGGTTTGTGGTGCCCGTGATTTGAACGAAATTGAAAAATCGCTCGGGCGTTTGGTGAGGAAATGAGCCCGCCTTTGTCACGCCAAACGTGACGTGTTAAAAACTACCAAAATTAAATCGACCAAACACGAACTCACAACCTTAATACGCGCGTAATCCAAGGGCGTTGTTCCGCTTCGCGACACGCGCCGAAATGTGTAGGAAGTAGCCGTGTAGATTAAAAGGACTTTTATGCCTGCACGGCATGATGTTACATACACGTGTACGAGCGCGTCTATATAAATTCGGAATGGAGATAATTACGTGCGTGAGTTTGTAACGAGTCCATAAAGCGTCGAGCCGTAGAATTGGTCGAACTTATTGATCGGCAGTGCGCGCGCTCGCTTTTTATCCCTCTCTCCCCTCAGCCTTCTCGTCTGGCTCGTTCGTCGTTAATTCCACTTTGAATAAATATGAATTCGCGCGCGCTAACCCCGGGTATTCCCCCTTTTTATTTCCGCGCCGTCTCCTCGCACGCGCAAGAGAACGCAATTAACCACTGACAATTCCGCGAGATCGCTCCCGTTATGTAAAGAACGCGAACTCGTCTCGCGGATGTAATCCGCATAATCGGGATATCGAGCAGCTTCGAGAAGGTGACAGGTGACACTGGTTTTGTATTGCTAATTTGTCTTCGCATTTGAGTGATTTTTTTTAATTCAATTCTTTATCCCCATACAATTTTTATGAAAATTATTTAGAGAGAGAGAGAGAGAGAAAGAGAGAGAGAGAGAGAGAGAGATGTAAATGCACATCGTTTGCGCGTTTCGGTAAATCGAATATCACAGAATTGTTTGCGTAAATAATTATGTCTACTTGTTAATGTAAATATTGAAGTAACCGATTAATATGAACGGACATCCCTTTATTTTCAACGCATTTCTATCTTCATCCATCTGGCGCATTGTTTTAATAAACACGCGGATCGCACGGGTTCCAAATAAAATGCAATTGTGCCGGCATTTCCGCGTGTTGATCTGTTTACTGAAAAAATTAAGAGAGTAAATTTGGTTGAAGTTACAAAGCGTACTGTCGGTATTGAATAGTTGTTTTAGATAATACATATGAAAGGCTTGTATACTTCTTGATTCGTGAAAC